TGATGGTAACTAAATAATAAATGATTGGCTGGCGATCAGTCCAGGGCGTACCCCGCCTCTCGCTAAGTGTCAGTTGGCATAGCTAACCTTAAGATGACTCGAAATCAAACTTGTGTGTCCCTTTCCCTCGCCTCGCTCATTGAAAAATGTGTTCTTTGCTACAAGTTATCTTAGATCTCACTATGCTGAAGCTACCCGCCAGAGAAGTGCCGCACGCCAAGCTACAATTATATGAAAAATTGACATCAAAGCTTTTTTGAGCAGTGAACAAAAATGTGTAATTGTATTCGTTCGCATCTTGACAGAAAGTGTTTTCTTTTGAGAGGATTAAGGTCCAGTGACGTCAAAACATCGATCTTCTCATAGTTATGAGCTTGTTTCGCCATATGGATAATGTTACGGTCAGGCTAACGCGTGCTAGCTAACGTCGCTAAGTAGCTGCAATGCAAATCTTTTAGCGACATCACTGAAGTTCACTAAATACGTACAAATAATATTAGAATCAAAACTCTAATTATTCAAAAGCTTGAATATTTTCACTTTTGATACTTAAATACATTTAATGTCAGCAACTTCAATAGACGAACAGGAGGAGGATTTTAAAATCTTAGCACAGTAACACGTCTTCCTCAAAAGTGTCACAAAAGACTGACCTATGGACTGTATTGCAAATCCCCCTCTTCCCTAAAAAAAAAAAAACTGCTTGAACAATGGAAGAGTTAATATTGAAATGGGAAAGGTGATCACCGTCGAACCAGAAGACCACCAAATGACACTTACGCAGACAAATGTTGTTTTTGAACATGTGCAGGATGCGCTGACAGCCCTGCCATTCGTTGCCGCTGCCATCACACGTGCACCACTGGGACACTTCCGTACTGCTGTTGCTCACGTAGTTGGGAGTCATAATGGTGCCTGCAAAAGACGGCAAACATCAGTTTTACGTGAGCCAAGCGATTATTCATGCTCTGCGCCTCTGTTGAAGACACCGAGCAGACTGCCGACAAGATTTGCGCTCATACAGCGGGGGTCAAAAAAATGTTTTGAAAGATACAGTGGGGGGGAAGAGATGGGGAAACAATACAAAGTAAGACATTTTGATGAGCTGCCAGTAGAAATACAAATGGGAGATTCTTTTTTTTGGGGGGGGGGTATTTCTGACAGGAATCCCAGAAGCGGCTGCAACAAAAGGCCTGGAAATGGCAAAGTTTTTGTGAAGAATTGTGCATAAAGTAGGTGGGGGGGGCATGACTTTTTCATGATTGTGTCTTTCTGTGAGGACATTTTGCCAAAACTTCAGCGAATTTGAAGCCCTCATCGAGACTTCAAGTCATATACTCGAGTACAAATATATATATATTTTTAATTATTAGTTTTTTTTCATATTCAGCCATCTTCTCATTCTGTAGCGTTAGTGCATCCAAACCTATGACTACTTACACTGAATATTATCTGTACAGTAATTTTTTTTTCTTGCTGCTTCCTTAGTGACGTATATCTAGCCTTCTCATCAAAAGGCCACACTAATTTGACAAAATCCTGAGAAAATTTGAAAATGCAAGACATGATCTACAGAATGCTACTTTAACATGATTAATAAGTCGATGCGATTTTTTTTTTTTTAAATTGATTGAGAGTGAAGGACAATTATTGCAGACAAACAAACCCTACAACATATTGCCCGGTGTGAAAAGCAATGACTATTTGTGAAACAAGTAAAGGGGGGGTGTCTTTACATGGTTCATTATACATCATCGCCAAGTCATTCTGACTTCCCCAGTCTGTCCTAAATTTGAATACATGTGATGTGAGGGTTCTAAAAGTATGACTTGACGGAGGCATTGAACTTTTCCTTCTTTTCTTATTCACGAGAAACCTCGCCCTTTGGATGAACCATTTTCAACACGGGGGGGGGGGGGGGGGGGGGGGGGGGGTGTCTTTACATGGTTCATTATACATCATCGCCAAGTCATTCTGACTTCCCCAGTCTGTCCTAAATTTGAATACATGTGATGTGAGGGTTCTAAAAGTATGACTTGACGGAGGCATTGAACTTTTCCTTCTTTTCTTATTCACGAGAAACCTCGCCCTTTGGATGAACCATTTTCAACACACCGATGATTGTAACTAAATAATAAATGATTGGCTGGCGATCAGTCCAGGGCGTACCCCGCCTCTCGCCAAGTGTCAGTTGGCATAGCTAACCTTAAGATGACTCGAAATCAAACTTGTGTGTCCCTTTCCCTCGCCTCGCTCATTGAAAAATGTGTTCTTTGCTACAAGTTATCTTAGATCTCACTATGCTGAAGCTACCCGCCAGAGAAGTGCCGCACGCCAAGCTACAATTATATGAAAAATTGACATCAAAGCTTTTTTGAGCAGTGAACAAAAATGTGTAATTGTATTCGTTCGCATCTTGACAGAAAGTGTTTTCTTTTGAGAGGATTAAGGTCCAGTGACGTCAAAACATCGATCTTCTCATAGTTATGAGCTTGTTTCGCCATATGGATAATGTTACGGTCAGGCTAACGCGTGCTAGCTAACGTCGCTAAGTAGCTGCAATGCAAATCTTTTAGCGACATCACTGAAGTTCACTAAATACGTACAAATAATATTAGAATCAAAACTCTAATTATTCAAAAGCTTGAATATTTTCACTTTTGATACTTAAATACATTTAATGTCAGCAACTTCAATAGACGAACAGGAGGAGGATTTTAAAATCTTAGCACAGTAACACGTCTTCCTCAAAAGTGTCACAAAAGACTGACCTATGGACTGTATTGCAAATCCCCCTCTTCCCTAAAAAAAAAAAAACTGCTTGAACAATGGAAGAGTTAATATTGAAATGGGAAAGGTGATCACCGTCGAACCAGAAGACCACCAAATGACACTTACGCAGACAAATGTTGTTTTTGAACATGTGCAGGATGCGCTGACAGCCCTGCCATTCGTTGCCGCTGCCATCACACGTGCACCACTGGGACACTTCCGTACTGCTGTTGCTCACGTAGTTGGGAGTCATAATGGTGCCTGCAAAAGACGGCAAACATCAGTTTTACGTGAGCCAAGCGATTATTCATGCTCTGCGCCTCTGTTGAAGACACCGAGCAGACTGCCGACAAGATTTGCGCTCATACAGCGGGGGTCAAAAAAATGTTTTGAAAGATACAGTGGGGGGGAAGAGATGGGGAAACAATACAAAGTAAGACATTTTGATGAGCTGCCAGTAGAAATACAAATGGGAGATTCTTTTTTTTGGGGGGGGGGTATTTCTGACAGGAATCCCAGAAGCGGCTGCAACAAAAGGCCTGGAAATGGCAAAGTTTTTGTGAAGAATTGTGCATAAAGTAGGTGGGGGGGGCATGACTTTTTCATGATTGTGTCTTTCTGTGAGGACATTTTGCCAAAACTTCAGCGAATTTGAAGCCCTCATCGAGACTTCAAGTCATATACTCGAGTACAAATATATATATATTTTTAATTATTAGTTTTTTTTCATATTCAGCCATCTTCTCATTCTGTAGCGTTAGTGCATCCAAACCTATGACTACTTACACTGAATATTATCTGTACAGTAATTTTTTTTTCTTGCTGCTTCCTTAGTGACGTATATCTAGCCTTCTCATCAAAAGGCCACACTAATTTGACAAAATCCTGAGAAAATTTGAAAATGCAAGACATGATCTACAGAATGCTACTTTAACATGATTAATAAGTCGATGCGATTTTTTTTTTTTTAAATTGATTGAGAGTGAAGGACAATTATTGCAGACAAACAAACCCTACAACATATTGCCCGGTGTGAAAAGCAATGACTATTTGTGAAACAAGTAAAGAGTCGCTTTCTGGTGAGAAAAAGGATTATGAAAGTAAAATATCACTGCAAGACACCTGCTGATGATTTCTAATAATCCTTCACGCCGTATTCTGCCTTTTCCGTAAAACGATTCCATCTCTCAACATTTTCTCCGCTTTCATTTACTCACCTATGAGTCCAGCGTAGGCCTTGAGGCACATCGCTCTGCTTTCTCGCATGCAGCCAGAAGCAGACAGAGGAGCTGGCTGACAGTTGTGTTGGAAGTCAGCAAACCGGGATCTGACGCACATGCAAAAAAAAAAAAGAAAAAAAAAACAATGTCAGAATATTAAAGGTGCCTTAAGGGGTGAAGTGCACTGATTCTGCTTGAGGTTGCAAGTGATCAGAAAGTATCCCACCGGATGTCTTTTGTGGAATGAGTTGTGCGAGCCAACTTTGCTATTACTGGGTAAAATAACATTTTTTTTGCATCACTCTTACTACCAGACACATTGCTATTGCTGCTCTCTATTAAAAATGGAAAGCATGTGAGGGTGAGGGATCGAGTACTGTTGCGAATAGTGAAAACATGCCAGTGATTAATGTACCCCCAATGCACCTTTAAAAAAAAAAAAAAAAAGTTTCCAATCTCCTGTCACAACTCTCCCCCTTTGCTTCCTCTAGTCCATGTCAAGTGTGGTACACACCATGTCACCAAGCAGAACAATGACTGACTTATCAAAAATTTGAAAATACCTGTGATGCTATTCAGAAGACACACCTTGGTTGAACATGCCGCTACGGTGTTTTCAATCATGAACACAGAGGTACAAACAATTTTGTCCACGTGTGTAAGTGGGTCAAGGTGCACAGCGGCAGCAGACGTGATGCACGAGGATAGCATGTTGGAAAACAAGGAGCCATTTCTCCCTCGTCTTTGCATAGTTTCTGCCAAATGACTAATAGCAGTATTCACCTCAGAAAATACCGCGTGTCCTCAGCTCTGGCATGAGCACGTAACCTTTCTCACCTACACAGCTCATCCCTCGAGCAGTAATTCTGCAGGCTGAGGCAGTTGGGCTTCCCCGCTCGTTCCTCCCCCTTAGCGTTCTCCTCGTAGGAACAAGACGGAACGATGGTTTTCCTGCGGCGCTCCCCACACAGGGTATCGGAGCAAGGGCAGAAGAGCAGGGCAAAGCTGTACTCCTCCGGCACACGCTCCAAGAAGCGCCGCAGGGCTCGGTGGCATTTCTGACGGTTGCAACTGTTGTCGGAGGTCGCTGCTCGCTTGGTGCACGCCACGACGTACTCGGAGCGCAGGGAGCCGCATTTCTCAAACAAGCCGCAGTCCTGGGCTGCTTTGAGACACTGATTGTGACCGTCTACAGACACAGAGGAAGCTGGCGGGGGGAAAAGAAGAGTATTATGACGACAAGGAAAGAAATTTGACCAACATGTTCACTCATTCGTGTCAGTGGCCGTACCTGCCATGATGGAGGCCATGTGCGACATCTCGATGTTTCTCACCAGGCTGAACTCGAGTTCTTCATATGGCGAAACTTCATACTCTTCGTATGCTTAAAACAGAAAAGCGAAGTCTTCTTTTCATGACTTGCACACAAGGGCTGCGACGTTGAACGTCACGAACGCTACAAAATTCCATGGAAATTAGCTTTCTAGTTTTTGAACACTTACTGCAGTCAGACTACGGTCTCATACGTTTTGATCTTAAGTTGGATGCAATGGTCATTTTTTTTTCTATTGATACACTCATAAGTTTAAAAAATGTTTTAAAAGATAAACTAAAGTAGACCTATCTGAGCCCCACAAAATTCCATGGAAATTAGCTTTCTAGTTTTTGAGCACTTACTGCAGTCAGACTACGGTCTCATACATTTTGATCTTAAGTTGGATGGAATGCTCATCTGTTTTATATTGGTACACTCATAAGTGTAAAAAAATTTCAAAAGATAAACTAAAGTAGACCTATCTGAGCCCTGAAACTCCGTAAATGAGTCCCACTTCGGCCCTGTTGAGAAGTATGTCCCTCCTCTAATGTAGCGCAATAAGGCAAGCAGAATATTAGAAAGACCTTTTAGTATCATACAGTCATGAATTTCAATGTACAAAATAAAACTCTGGAGTAACGGGGCACAGGCCAAAGAAGAGCTTATCCAATTTTGGCATTGGATCCAGGTAAAGTTGCAGATCCAGGATTTTCTTTTTGCGGCACGGCAATATCTTTTCACATTTCCCTCAATTTCTCAGTAAATGATGCGTGACACTGGCAGGCTGTGCATTTGTCACCTGGGCTTACCTGACTTCAACTGCTAATAGCACCACTATCACGTCGCAATTATAGAGACCATCAGAACGATACAGAAACGCAATACTGTATAACAACATGCAACTGTGCCAAATAGATCACCCGAAAGAAGCTCAGTATCAATATTTATCTCATAGCATGACTAAAAGATACTTCCGTCCATTTTCGATACCGCTATCCCTTATGAGTTGTGGCTGAGCCAAACCGCAGTCTTCAAAAGCGTGGCTTCGTAGGAAAAGAGTGCGGCTACTAGAGTGGCCTGCCTGCAGTCCAGACCTGTCTCCCATTCAAAATGTGTGGCGCATAATAAAGTGTAAAAAAAAATGACAACGGAGATCCCGGACTGTTGAACAGCTGAAGCTGTAGATCAAGCAAGAATGGGAAAGAATTCCACCGACAAAGCTTCGACAATTAGCTTGTTTTCTAAACGAACTAGTTTACATTTGTGCTTTGGCTCAAACATTGGGCAACACTCGACTAAAGTATCTTTGAAAGTGTGCAGTTAATCTTTGCTCACTTGAGTGTATAAAGGCAGAATCTTTGATGCAAGGGTGAAAAAAACCACACACACACACACTTACACACAGATGGCAAAGCTTAAATCCCACCTCCAAACCTGACAGTCCAGTAGACCCTGAGGCAGTGTTCCTCCCTACGAGATCCGCGCTGGCATTTGCACACTTGAAGTGGGCGATGGCGCTGCAAGGAGTTCTGAGCCTCCAGGCACTCGTTGCGGGCGTCGGGGCCGAGCGGCGAAATCGCCTCCTCGGCCGAGCAGTACTCCAAGAGGTGGTAGAGGACCTTGCAGGACTGCTGCTGGATGCAGCCCTGCTCTGCCAGCAGACAGTCGAAGGAGGCCGACACCGGTGCGCTACCTGATGGAGACACGGTCATACGTCGTCTGTGTGAAAGGTGCTTAGCCGCGGGGTTAATTGTCCCACTGTTTGCTGTTGCGATAAATAGGTTGTAATTAAGACAACAGATCAAATGAATTGTGCTCTGTGGACACATTGGAGAACTACTCATTATAATAACCACAAGGAAGATTAAATTGAAAGCTCACAAGTGTTCTTCATTCACAATATGGCCGTAAAACACTGCAAGCGGGTGGGCTGATTGGATTGATTGACTTTCGGTGGGGGTCCAGCCGAGTTTTTTGGAGCGCTTCCAACTAAGCAGTCAGCTAATATCACGGCGCTGTCCAAACACAGAAGCTCTATGCGAAAGTCTTGCGACGCCGCAATGCAACGCGAGCACATTCTTATCAGGTTCGAAACGCACATCCCCTCCAATCTGAACCTTTTCTTTTTTCTCTTCCATCTCCACTTTTAGTTCTGAAACCCTCCTCGTGTCACTCCCTAGAGTGCATATTAGATACCTATTTGTGTGTCAGTTGCTGAATAGAGTCGCGTTCATACGGGAGAACGTTGGCCTGCGTCAGAGCGGATGTTGTTGCGTAGCCAACGCTCAGATGCCCAATCTTTCGATTTGCACTTCAACAACCGAAAAAAATCCTTTCCAAAATCTCGTTGATTTGCCAAAATGCATATGGGAATTAATACAGAATGAAATGAAGACACACCAACAACTGTAGAATCGGGGAGTGGGAGTGGGGAGGGGGCGGGGATTCAGTTATTAAAAAATTTAAAATGAGGATTTATTTAGTCTTGGCATATTGTTTCCACAGCAGGTACCAATGGTTTGATCATTATTTTAATACATCAATTGTACTTCAGGAGCCTGTTCGATGTAATGAAGCAAGTCATTGTTTTTATGTATCGTAGAGAAAAAGAAGCTTGCTTATGAGCGCGGAGCAGTCAATCGCTTTATGCCTTACTCTTTAGTTATTTGTGTGTGACTCGCGTATGAAAGGGAAGTTCCTGTCAGGCAAATGCATTGTAGAGCAACTGCGAAAAAGCCACTGATGAGCAGCAAACAGGTACAGTGTGAAACATGATGAGAACCTTTCAATACAGGAGCCGTCAAATACTCGTCGTCATGCCTACTTGTCACAGGCAAGTTTCACAAGAAGAAATATTGACAACGGGCTCATAAACACACAAGGCAAATGCATTGTAGAGCAACTGCGAAAAAGCCACCGATGAGCAGCAAACAGGTACAGTGTGAAACATGACGAGAACATTTCAATACAGGAGCCGTCAAATACTCGTCGTTATGCCTACTTGTCGCAGACAAGGCTCATAAGGAGCAATGTTGACAACGGGCTCATGAACACACAGAGTAACTTTCAAGCCATTTTCTCCACAGATTAATTTCGTGCTACTTTGGGTGGTCTAGATTGGTGGAATTCTGGATTCTTGGTGGATGGCCATCATGTCCCAACAAGGCAAGGTTAGCAAGGAGTAAAATATGCAATTACAAACCGAGCATTTTTTTTTTTGGCCATGGCTAGAGGCGGCGTACCCCCCTGGGGTCAATACCATCCCCACTGACGTTTTAGGAAAATAACAATGATCATTTGGAATACAGCACAATGTTGTTTTCATGTAATTAATATTGATTTAAGAATGCACTCATTGCTGAAATTCTAGTTTGCAGTGGTGTACAAGTCCACTGCAGAACACAGAGATGTGTTTCTATCAATTTGAAAAAATAGTTGAAAGCCCTCTCAGGATGCCGCAGGGCATGTCCACTGTAAATTACTAATGCAATAAGCCTTTCCCCTTGTTCCTCCCTGAAAGGATTAAATAATTTAATCATCAAATGAAGGCACAACTTCTAAAACTATAAATAAGCTCACTCTAAAAACAATCGTGACAAAGTTATTCCGATTTTATGGACTCGCTGAATGTTGATTACATATTTCTGTGAGCAAAGCTACAACATTCATATTTTCAAGTCTCTGCCGCATTTACCGAGCTTTGATGTAACACACAAGCTATTTATGACATAAAGTCATCGCATTGATTCCGTATAGTTCAAAATGAAAACATTCAGAAAAACGGATTCATAGTTTGAATGTGAATCTGGATTTACCAACTTGGCACAAGTTCCTTTATCCATCAAAAGTCTCAAAGATGAAAACAATGCGCTCATGCATAATTATATTCGTGACGTTCACATCAAAAATGCGTGCCTTCACATAAAATTGACATGCTCTACCCAAACTAATGCTAATTACCAGTCATGCAACGATGTCAACAAGCAGAAATCAAAAACCCTTTGCCAAGGATTACTGTGTCTGCTTGCTTATTCTGATGATCGTCAAACCGATAATAATTGCTCCATGAACATCGTTGGCCCTGAGCGCAAGATTGGAAAAACCTGCATGAAAGGTGTAGCAGGTGTAAAGTGAATGAAACCAAAACGGCAACAAGAGCTCCATTAACACCGAAGTGTGGCTGCGGGTGTTTGTCGGCAAGCGCGCGCAAGCTCACGTACATTAACATATAGATTACGCGCGCAAACACTCACATAGGTAGCATTGTGTTAAGATTGGTCACACGCTTTGATTAAGCTGCTGGCGACTGGCGGGGCAAAGCGCAGCTGCCATCCCGTCCCGCCGCCCCATATTTGGTAATCTCAGACGCCACATGAGGTCCACGTCTCACTCACGCATGAAATATATCATAAACAGAGAGGCTACGCTTTATTGCCGCCGCAGGAAACCTGCCACGGCTCCTGCCGCAGGGGTAGTTAATTGGTTAATTGGTGTTTGTTCATCAGGCTAGTCAAAAAAAAAAAAAAAAAGAAGAAGCGATGCTTATCTTATCCAAATGGTTGGATTCCGAGATCATTAGGACGCATACGGCGCATCGTTGTTAAAATCTATAAAAACACAGAGTGTATCTGATAGATATAAAAGCAGCACATACGACCGAATCGTGCTCATTGATTAACTCAAGATCTCTCAAGTCCGCAGGCAAGAGCGGCGTTCGCGTCGGAAGAAGAACTGCGGGATGAAATATGGTGATATGGGCGCCATAATCCACTCTATTGATTTCTCACTGGGGTGATTAATACGATCTGCGCAGGAAAAGATGATGAAGGTTCACACCGTTCATGGGAGACCACACGCCAACGCGCCAACGTTCACGGGGAAGTGATTGGCTGTGGCCAATTTATCTTTGAGCCATTGAAAGGCGTGGGATGGATGACCGAGCGTCCACGCTGCCGGCCAGTAATTGGAGATGAGAGGAGAGTGTGGCGAAGGAGGAGGAAGTCTGCTGGGAAGACGGGGAGTGTGACCAAAAGAAATTCCTGCATGGAAGTCACACCGGGGGAGGAGGCGCCGGAAGGACGGAAGGCACACGCTGGACACAACCCGCGTGAGGTGCCTTTCAAACGTCTCTATTTCAACTATCAGAGCAATTGAGAGCTTTTCCTTGGAACGTCATATTTATTGGACGCTGGAGAATAAATGTATGCTTCACGAGAAACTGTTATGATGATCCAAGAATAAGTTGTGACTGGTTCAACTTTGAGTTAGATCAGGGGTTTCAAACTCACTTTTGTCACGGAAAATGATGTGGCGGGCCAGATCCGGCCCGCGGGCCTTGTGTTTGACATCTGCGGGGCTAGGATGATTACAAACGGAAATTTTGACCTATGTTACTTGCAAAGCACGACTAGCAGTACTTTTATGATTCTTATAAAGTTTCTGTAAAACCATGAGGGCTCGTTACACTCAGCATTTGTTTATCATTCATACCACTTTAGCATTACGCAATCAAATGAAAACATTGAAAACGCTTGCGAAGCACGACTAGCAGTACTTTTATGATTCTTATAAAGTTTCTTTAAACCATGAGGACTAGTCACACTCAGCATTTGTTTATCATACCACTTAGCATTATGCAATCAAACAAAAACATTGAAAACATAAATGAATAATAATCACACCCCTATAATGTGTCTAATATAAAAATAACGGGGTGAATAATGAGTGACTATACATGGACGTGAGCCCAAACACGATACATGTAAAAGGTCCAGCGCTTTGAGCAAATGAGACGACTCACTTCACGGACTGTCATACAAATTAAAAGTAAGTACTCGCATTAGTGTACAGTTAATGGAATGTTAATGTAAGGACGGCGATTGACCCCACAGGCTGTACTGGAAAGAGGCACGAGTACAATGTGGTATGACCATTTTCTTGCCAAAAGTGTGTCTTTTGGATGTCATTCAACACAGTAAATTAAAAGACATAGCTGGGAAAGAAAAAAAAAAATCGGGGCCGAGCAGATGGCAAACGACAGAAAGGTCTAGTAAGTTGTCCAAGCTCTGTCCAATCACTGTATGACTGACCCCCCCCAACCCCCCCATGTCATGCCAACAATTAAAATGCATTTATTCCCCGCGGTATTAAGGATTCAAACACGGCAGCGTCACTTTTGGAGTGCGTGAAGGATTTTCACTTTGTGTTAAGAGCCGCGAGGGAATTAATGAATGAATTAATTGCGTATGCCGGCTTGTGTGCTGCGCTTGCCCCTGGACAGAGTTGTTTCCTTAAGAAGGACACAGTTGGTTAATCAGCCATAATTAAGGCTGGTGTTAGTCCTTGCTGATGCAGCCCTTTTCTCGCCACTTTCTCCACCAATCAGCTCATTGTCCTCCAACATCTTTTAAAATTAAACATATGCTTAAACCGGGAAGGCTGCGGTGACTGCCGCTGGGCGTCCTCACACAAGCTGAATCTGAACTTGTGTTTTGTTTTATTTTTTTTTATCTTAAAAAGCTCATCTCTTTCTCGTCCCCGTGTCATTCCGAAGTGACTTTTCGGAATAATTACAAACAGCTCTCATTATGATGCGGCGCGGTCCCACGCCGCTGCGAAGTACAAACGCAATTTATCGTTAATTACAAAAGTGACTGTGTCAATCAGCGGCGAGGATTAGAATGGGATAATTGG